CATGAAAGCAGGGGTTTTGTTTTGTATGCCAAAGACTTTCCAAGTGCCTGGCATGTAGTAGATGCTCAATAAGTATTTGTAAAGTGAAAAGTGGTGATAACCAGTTTCTGAAGACTAAGGAATCTCAGGGATGGAAGAGTGACATTGTTGATCCACTGGGCAAATATTTGGGTCCTCTATATCCAATGATAAGAAACTTTTTTTCCCCCAAGAGGATGATTAATTAAAAACAAAAAAGTTTATGAGCAGAATTTGTTTTTCATTCAAAATTAAATTTCATGGAGGAATAATGTGTGTTCTTAAATATTAGCCCCTTACTTTATTACAGAACAGAATTTTGTTTAGAAACTGCAAATAGATGTTTTCATTCCTGGAAATGACATCTGGATCTCATCTTGAACCCAGTCCTCGGCACTCAGGCTGTCCATCATCCATCACTTAAAATCATACCCCATTTTCAGAGAGGCAGAGAATGCCCAGAGAAGAAAAGGCATTTTCTTTTCTCAAGGTCATATAGCTACTCGGAGGCAGATTTAAGAGTGGACTTGGAGACTGGTCTTCTCGCAATGCTCCTTTCGCCAGCAGAAGAAAAAGAAAGAAGTCTGTGGTGCTTCTCTGCTCAACTAAACTTAAATGAGCATTTGATACAAATTTGATGGACGTCTGCTCACTGTGAATCCATGAACAAGTAGGAATCAGATTTATGGCCTTTCATATAATGTTGCTATAATTGTCCTATAAAAGATTGCAAGCATTCCGCCTACCCCTGCCCTGGGGATTATGAACATGACCTAACATTTAACAAGTACTGAAAACATGTGGGTGTTGTTTCAACTGCCAGAAGCTGAGAAAGGCCCTGTCTTTTTAATGTGTTTATCTTTTTTATAAGACAGGCATTGCCTCTGTTTTTTTTTTTTTTTTTTTTGCTGGGATTTTATCTTTTTTAGTTGTATTTTTATTTTTTGATGTAGCATTGGTTTATAGCACTTTCTATTATTTAAAAATAAAGGTTCACATCTTTTTAGATGTTTGTTTCCATGCCACATCCATTGCCAAAGCAGCTGCAATCATCCTACACAGTCTCCTGGGCCTCCTCTCCCCTTCGCTCCCCACTCTTTCCCTCTGCCTCTGGTAGCCTCAACTCCACAGTCAAATTTCTAGGGTTAGTCTTGGTTTAGTTTTGCCTGTTTCTTTTTTTTTGCTTCTCCATGTTCCATATATAAATGAACTCATCTGCTAGTCCTCTTTCTCCTTCTGACATTTTACTTAGCATAACCTCTCTGTTTCTACCCATGTTGTAGCAAATGGCAATATTTCATCTTTTTCTTAAATAGTTGAGTAGTATTCCACTGTGTGTGTATATATACACACACACACATCTGTTGTCGGGCATTTAGGTTGTTTCCATAACTTGACTACTACCAATAGTGCTGCAATGTACATAAAAGTACAAATATATCTGTTAAATTAGTATTTTTGTATTCTTTGGGTAGATATCTAGGAGTAGAATTGCTTGATCATGTGCTAATTGCATTTTTAATATTTTGAGACACCTCTGTACTATTTCCATAAGAACTGAAAATCATTAAAACAAAAAGATACCAGGCCTACCTGGTGGCGCAAGGGTTAAGTCTCAGCACTATGAAGCTATTGGCAGCCACTGCAGCACAAGTTCAACCCCAAGCCAGAGAGCTGACCCACATGGTGCAGCAGACCTCTCCTGTCTCACCCGCTGCTCCCCTCAGCAGGGTATTTTAGTAGATCTACCTGTTCTGCTCCCACTCTGTCTCTGGTGAATCCTCTCACCTCCCCCCCACCTCTGGCCTGTACCCAAGTTCTTGTGTGCATAAATAAATAAATCTTAAAAAATCCCAAAAGGATAACAGTGAATGGGAGAAAATATTTGCATATACATTCAACTAGGGGCTAATATCCTTCATCTATAAATATCTCATACAGGGCCTCCCCGGTGGTGCAGCGGTAGAGCCCTGGGTTGCGAAGCTGCCCGCGGCCTCTGCGGCGCTGGTTCAATCCCCGGCTGCTCCCCGACCACCGGAGGAGGGTCCCACATGGCGCGCAGACCTCTCCTGCCGCCCGCTGCTCCCCTCAGCAGTGTACTTCGGTCCTTCTGCCTGCTCTACTCCCTGCTCTGGCTCTGGTGAATTCTCTCACCCTCCTGCGCTTCTGACTGTACCCAGTGCATGTATAAACAAAACAAACAAATAAATAAATAAATAAAACATGCCTCTATTAAAAAAAAAAAAATATCTCATACAACTCAACAAAAGAAAACAAGAAAAAGAAAACAAAATGTAGCAGAAATGCTTAATAGAGACTTCTCCAAAGAAGATACACAGATGGCCAACATACAGGGAATTGCAAGGGCACAGTGAGATATTACCATACAACCGTGAGAATGGCTTCTATCAAAAAGACCAGAAAAGCCTTCCCGGTGGCCCAGTGGGTTGAGCACAGTGCTGTGAAGCTGTCTGCAGCCTCTGCAGCGCGGTTTGATTCCCAGCCGGCCAAGGAAATTCCCACATGGGTGCCAGACCTCTCCTGTCTTGCCCGCTGCTCCCCTCAGCAGTGTATTTCAGTCAGTCTGCCTGCTCTGTCTCTGGTGAATCCTCTCACCCTCCTGCACCTCTGGCCTATACCCCAGCTATTGTATAAATAAAAAATAAATCTTAAAAAAAAAAAAAAAGACCAGGAAAAAACAAGTGCTGGCAAGGCTGTGGAGAAAAAGGAACCCTCTTACACTGCTGGTGGGAATGTAGACAACATTTTTACTTTTTTGTTATTATTTGTTTTTAGTATTATCTATAAATACAAGTATATCCTATGTATTTATAAGGCAGAAGCTCTGGATATTTAACATACATATTTAGACAATTTAATGAATTTATAAGGACTTTAACTTGTGTTAGTACCCTGTTTATAAATCAATGCATTTGTTGTCACTCAATGAATAATATGACTTGAAGGATAAAGTTATTTTTTAAATTATTGGCTTTTATGTTTATTTTATTGTATTCAACCTGTCAACTCCAAATATGCTCACTGATGATTGAAATGCCTGAATGCTGTTTTGTTTTCCTGGCTATTACCTAACACTCCTTTAAGCAGAGCTCTGGAATCAATTTCACCATTGCTCTCCATAAAACCAGTCAACTATAGTTCCTCAGGGATCATTATTCAATACCCGGTGATAGGTAATTGCAGAGGTACCCAAAAGCATGAGGTCACAGAGTCCATGTTTTTAGGAAGCTTCTGCCTGCTGTTAGAGTTTATAGATGAGAGCCTGAAACTAACCATGTCAGGTGGTACACAGAAAGTTCTAGTAGTCATGTGGCTTAGAACAATGGAAGGAGGCAGAAAAAAACAAAGGTAGAAATATATGTTTGGGCCAGATAATCTTCATAATTCTTTTGCTTTGAATTAGAGAATATTTTCCCCATTGGCTTAATTTTAGTTTTTCATGAATCTGAGAAATGACAACAAAAGTTCCTTGGATTTCTTTTTAGGTTTGTTTCATATTCCAGGAATGTCTCCCCTTCATCTCCTTGGATGTAGGTGACCAGCCTGGGTGAAGAAAATCCACTTGAGTTTTTATTGAAATTTGACTGCTAAGAAGAATGATTTCCAGTTTCTATTTGTCAGGTGGAGAGTCAAGAAGAACAAGTCCTCTTTTTTCCATAGAAGGTAAGGCTTGCTACTATCTCCATTTATGATGATGATTTTTGTATATAGTACATTCATTGTCCTTAATTCAGGAAAATTTTCATCTATCCAAATGCCACATTTTTAAATACTACAAAATTCTTTCCCTTTGTTTGGTTCTATTTTCTCTAAATTATAGCCTCATTATCCCTATGAGAAAATACAAGTTGTAGGCAGCATGAAAATCAGGACCCAAATAATTTGGTTTAAATATTTTAAATGTATTAAATTCAATTAACTAAGGAACATGGGGATTCTCAATTGTGAATATATTGTGATTAAAATCTACCTTATCCTTGCTCATCTTTATTGTTAAAGGTAATTTAAAAGTGAAAATGCAGTGTTTAGATTTTTCTATTCATATTGACTTCTTTCATTTGTTTGTGATTATCTTTCTTGGGGGGTATGATATCTATTTTAGGATTAGAATTATTTTAAAGCTGATACTGGGCACTAGAGAACATCTAGTCTAACCACTTCATTTGGTAAATGAAGAAATCAGAGGCCAGAGATATTATGGAACTGGTGGAGACCACACATAAAATTAGTGGACATTCATGGGCATGTCAGACCAAATCCTTGTATAAATGCATAAAACAACTAATATTAATATGAATTGATCTAATCCTGCCTTTACAAACTGGACCTCCAGGATCTTTCGGACATTGTGGATGTACAATAATATAATTTGAAGCCCCCAGAGCTGTCGGTCTTGTATAAACTGTCCCTGGAAAAGTCCAGGTATGTCACTATAACTAGTAGAAACAAAATTTTCAGGTGATTAATTTGATAATATTTCAATTTTTTTCTGAGTTTTTAATCTGGTTTATTTTGAAAGTCATGGCTAACTATATATGATCTTGTCATATGCCATCCATTGTCTATGTTGAATTGCCTTTTTTCAGATTTATTTATTTATGCATAGAAGAACTGGAGTGTAGGCTAGAGGTGTAGGGGGTGAGATGATTCACCAGAGACAGAGTGGGGAGGAGAACAGGCAGATATACTGAGGGGATCTTTATCTATATGCTGAGGGGATCTTTATTCATACATCTACAGTAACCTATGGAGGTTATTTAAAAGAAGAAGCAGTAAAATCTTGCCTTGTCAATCAGAAAGGAAAGAATAGAGACGTTTGTCTTTCAGAGAAGGTTTTATGTAATATCTTCTGAAAGTAGAGGGCTAATTTAGTTTAACTCAAAGACCTCATTCAAGTACTTTAATCTCTCATAGAATCATTAAATACAATACATAGTCAAAACAGTAATCTATAAACTTACTTGTCAACATATTCAACTAGATCTGTAGAATTCTTGGTTGACATTTTGACTGGAGATAATCTTACCTAAAACAAAGGTCATGAATTTAAAATATATCATCAGCTACCACACACAGGGAAAACTTATCTACCTATCCTTATATAAATGTTTTAAGTAAAATAAAAATGCAGACACATACACACACTATATATACACACACACATACATACATACATACATACATGTATATGTATAGTATAGATCACAGACTATCAGCCCAGTTAATCTTGCACTTGTCCCATTTGTACAGCTAGAGACTAAAACAAAAATCAAGTTCAGGGAAGATACTAAAGAAGTGCAGTTCATAGAGTTATTATTATTTATTTATTATTATAGAAAGGCCAAAGCCATAGATTATTCTTAGATAATTTTAAATGAACTATCTAGTGATTATTGACCAAGTTACTGAAGAAGTCCTCACAGAATGAATTATTTCTGATGTACTGAATTCTGAGGGGAATCAGCTAATTTTCAAAGATAAAGTCACAAACTAGAAAACTAGTTTATCCAGGTAATTTTGGTTTCTAAGAAGCCTAGATGTTAGATTATTGTAGTCAATGAGAAATAAAAGCACAGAGCACAGTTATGTACAAAACTTAACAGTATTAAAGATAGCTGGTGATTTAAGCACAACTAATTCAATAAATTGGCCCTACTAGAAATTTCTATTTGCCTGAAAGTTCATAATTTTGTAGTGTTTCTAGGAGGAAAGAGGATACCAAGTGTACTCACTGTTTCACAAATGCTGAAACTTTTGAACTTTAATTTTTTTTATTTTTAAGTTTAAACACATCATACAGACTTATCCTCATTTTAATAGCCTGTCACTGAAGTGGATTCAATGGGAAGTGTAAGTTTTGAAGTTAAAACAAAACACATTCCTAGTATATTTTTTCTTGCTTTATATTACTGTATACTATAACACTGGGCAGACCATGTTAAGACCCATATACAGAATTCATGCCTTTTGTAAATACCTTAATTTATTTTTAAAGATTTATTTATTTATACAAGAACCAGGGTATAGGCCAGATGCGCGGGAGGGTAAGAGGATTCACCAGAGACAGACCGGGGAATAGAACAGGCAGACTGACAAAATACACTGCTGAGGGGAGCAGCAGGTGAGACAGGAGAGGTCTGCAGTGCCATGTGGGACCTTCGCCGCCTGGCCGGGATTGAACCTGTGCTGCAGAGGCTGGGGACAGCTTCACAGTGCTGCGCTCAACTGCCTGCACCACCAGGGAGGCCCTAAATACCTTAATTCTTAACTTAAGGCCTAAGAAGCTTAGCTGGAATGCTCTCTCTGCCAATAAAACTTAAAATTAAAAACAAAGTCCATTATTAAAAAAAAAAGAAGTCCATTATCAGGGAAACTAATAAGGAGCATCTGACAATAGTGAGACTATCTTGACCCAGCCCACTCGGTGGTGGAGAACAGGCTAGTGGATGCTCAAGATGGAGCTGGTGAACCTCCATGACAGTGCTTTAGAACCTTCCCAATCCTCTGTTGTTGATGGGCTCTGCAGTGGGTCTAATACTTGTTTTTTTAAAAGATTTATTTATTTTTATACAAGAATTGGGGTACAGGTCAGAGATGTGGGGGTGAGGGGTGAGAGGACACCCAAAGACAGAGCAGGGAATAGAACAAGCAGACAGACCAAAGTACACTGCTGAGGGGAGCAGCGGGTGAGACTAGAGGTCTGTCCTGCCATGTGGGTTTCTCCCTGGCCAGCTGGAATTTCAATTCGTGCTGCAGTGGCTGCGGATTGCTTCATAGGTTGCGTCTTAACCCCTGCGCCACCAGGATGGCCAGGGTCTAATACTTTTACGCCCGGTTCTTCTCCTAGACAGTGGATACACTGGGCCACAGGGTGCCCAGGTGTCCACATTATGAAATCATTTCAACTCCCCAGGGAACTTGACTGGCTTGCTTTGTCTTTCACTCCAGTTTCTGCCTGGAACATTACTGAAGTTTGAGCTCCTCATCTATTTAATGCCTGCTCTTTCATTCTCATCTTTCCCTGGCCACCCTCTGACCTCTGGGAGTCTGTTTGTTGTATTTCCTCAATAACTACCTGCACAGCTCTTTGTAAATACTTGTGAAATGAATTTTCCATCCAAGAATTACTGGGTTATTGTATTCCTTTTTCCCTTCTGGAGTAAAACTATTGGAGGGGTCTATATATCTATATCTTTATATAATTGTTATATATATCTTTATATATTTACATAGATATAAACATAAAAATCTCCAATTTATAGATACAAGCTTTATTTTATGAATTTATTAATTGGAAGACTATAAATAACGTCCCCTTAAAACACACCTGCAAATCACATACTTTTCAAGTAGCAAATGCTAAACTTAATGATGGAATTTGGAAAAATATAGAAAAGTAAGAGACAGAGGAAAAAAAGTCCCCACACATTGTGCTACTTTGATCAAATCTGTTAACATTATGGGCCATTAATTTCCTCTTTTCTCTAGGCAGTTTTTTTTTCTATATCTAAGACAGTATTTGAAGTTTCATGTTATTGTTAATTGAATATTGGAATCAGTTCTGTTTCGTTCCTCTACCTACTGTTCAAAATGAAATTATATCAAAATTGTCTCAAAGTGATACAGTTTGGAGGTTATTGTGGAACTTTTTCACCATGATGTGATTGCATTCTTCCAACAACCCTGTAAGGTGGGAACTGCTACTCTTACCTATGGATAACATTTGTTAACTTAAGTCACTGAAATCCTCTTTTATTTCAGAAAGAATTTAAGATGTTTATTTTTATAGGTGAGGGATCTGAAGGTCAGCGAAGTAGTGGACTTGCTCCAGATCATATAGATGATAACACTCATAACTATCGACGGACTCCTTCCTACTTGCTAAGTCCTTTTACCTTAGAGGCTCATTCAAACACCACATCTTTTTTTATGATAGAACTAATTAGCCCATTTTACAGAAGAGAATACAGAGAAATTAAGTAATTGGCCAAAGTCACACAGTGAGTGTGTTCTAGAGCCAACAGAAATCAGGACCTAATATTGGACCGGCTTTCCAGCATTCTTTCCAGCACAAGAGACCTGTGTCTGCTGGCCAGGTGTTATGAGAATTCCAAAGCAAAGTTTAAAATAATGGCTTATTTGAGAATGATTTTTAATTAATAGGAAAATTTAACAGCTACATTCTATTTAGTTATATTCTTTTTCAATGTTCTAAAGTCTATACTTTGAATTTATCATAGTTCCTTTTGAATCTTGATAAAAATAAAGGATTTTTTGGTTCAATTTTTGGCCTCACATATTAAAATTTAGTCCAAAACCTATCACAAATTGAGACCCTTTTCCTTTTCAGCTTGTGCTGTCACATTGTCAAAGCAGAACACACAGGAAATGTGGGAGAATGAAAAGAAAAACAAAGCCTCCAGGACTCCTTGAACACTCTAAGCAATACTAAGTTTTAAAGAAACAGCAAAATATTCTATTTTTAATATGAATATCTAGAAGTACTTGCTTTCTTTTCTTGGTCACTGACTGAGCCAGGAGAGGGGCCATCAGGTTTATCTTGCTGCTCCTCCGCGGTGGGAAAGGCACTTTTGTTTACATCGGTATCTAGGCAACCAGAATGCTGAATCAGATCGAACTGTAGCAAGTGAATTTTTGCAGTGGTGGTAATTTTTTTTTTCTAATTGAAAGCAGTTTCTGTTCATATGGCAGAGGTTTTACACTTTGCCTCCTCCATGTTCCCCTTACTCAATTCTCCCCCAGGCCCTCATCACACCTGTAGTTTACTAGAAGGCTTATCATAAAAGGACTTTCATAAGACATTGAGAGAACTTTGTTGAGATGCAATCATTTAGATCAAACCACTCTGAAATAACAGGGAATAACTTCTCCTCCTATTGTGCCCAAGTCAGCCAAGAGTCTTCTTCAGGATTTATTACTGTGCTTATATGTAGTAGCATAATAAATAATAAGACGTATAATTGGTAAGAAGTATAAGTAAAAGAGAAAAGCATGAGAAATTTAGAAACCTGAAATAATCTATGAAATAAATACCTGAACTCATCATGCTTGATTTGATTTCCTGGTCTTATTTTTGTCGATTTGATTTTTTGGAAAGGATACAGAGATTTTTTTTTTTCTCTCAGAAAGCATAAGTACTAAGGAAACTTGGTTGCATTCTGACTAAAGTCTTTGTATTTCTGGGGCCTCTTCCCAAGGTGGCTCAGAGCATTGTGACTGCAGGAAGGATCTGTGATGTCAAAGGGGTTGATAGTCGCTCTTCAATTCCCAAGCCTTGGCCACTGAGGAGTTTCAAGGGTTTTCCTTAAAACTCATTGTTATTAAGAACACTAAGTCCTTCACTTCTTTGTATCACTGGGTGGGAAGAGGTTATTTTTAATCCAGTGTTCTACACCTTTCCTTAACTTCACCTTCACTATCGGTTTCCAGCAAATCCGGGAAGAAAATGACAGGCGGTTTCCCAAATCTTCCTCCTAGCAGGCAGGTTAAAGAAGTTAATAACTTTCCTAGGCCACTAGGGGGAGTATGACAATGACTTCAGCAATAATTTCAGGTGAGGAGAGTCAGGGCTTTAAATAAATTGAAATAAATAAATTGAAATATTGAAATCAGGCCATATAAAAGAAATTTTGTTGAGTTATTTGTCCAAAAAAGATGTGGATTGTTCCAACTCTGAAACATTTGCACAAATCTTAAAATTGGAATTTGCATATTTTGCTATTACCACTTGGCCCTTATATACACAAGAGTTATTATTGATTGAGTTACTTTTTAAATAATTGCCTGTCTCAGGACATCCAATGTTCAGGATGCTGAATAATAAAATTAAATCTCTCAGAAAAACACCAGCCGTGATTTTTATTTCCATGGTGTCTTCTAGTGCAAATCTAAGCCCCCTTTAAATTAGAAATACAGTATTTCACAGCTTGCAAGAGATCCAGAGGGTCATTATACCATAATTTTATCAAAGGTCAAGGGTCAGTCACATGCCAGTGACTGAAAATGGGTGACTATGGATACAGAGACAGTGGGCCTGAATTGCTGTTTGCTTTGGGGGAAGTTGCCTCACCTCTTCAAGCCTCAGTTTTCTTCTCTGTAAAGTGAGCTAGTAATATTGACCTCATGAGGTGGTTGAGAGGATTAAATGCAATAATACATTTAAAGTGCTCAGCTGAGTGCCAGGCCAGGAATCCACTAAGACAGAGCTATTATTAGTGATCATTTCACAAGATGGCAATTATCCAAGAATAGATACAAGGTTTTTTTTTTTTTTTTAAATATTAAATTTTATTTTTATATTCCCCCATACAATTGCAAACGCCCCATTCTGACCCCAATCCTTCCCCTCCCGCCCCCCACCCCCCAAAAAGTGTCTCTGGTTCATAGTTTTTTGTTGATTTTGATTTTCACTTTCTTATATTCATTTTCCTGGTCCCTTATTTAAGTTTTCTAGATTCCTGCTATGAGTGAGACCATCCGGTATTTTTCTTTTCTTTTTGGCTTATTTCGCTGAGCATGATCCCTTCCAGTGCCATCCATGTTGCTGCAAATTGCATGTGTTTTATCTTTTTTGAATGCTGAGTAATATTCCATGGTATATATGTACCACATCTTCTTGATCCAGTCATCTATTTTTGGGCATTTGGGTTGTTTCCAAAGCTTAGCTATTGTAAACAGTGCTGCTATAAACATAGGAGTGCAGGTGCTCTTTGGAATTGATGTTTCTGTGTCCTTTGGGTAAATACCTAGGAGTGGAATTGCTGGATCATATGGAAGCTCTATGTTTAGTAGGTCCAGAAATCTCCACACAGCTCTCCATAGTGGTTGGACCAGTTTGCACTCCCACCAACAGTGCACAAGAGTTCCTTTTTCTCCACATCCTCGCCAACATTTGTTGTTGCTAGTTTTTTTAATATGTGCCATTCTCACTGGTGTGAGATGGTATCTCATGGTAGTTTTGATTTGCATTTCCCTGATTACAAGTGATGTTGAACATTTTTTCATATGTCTGTTGGCCATTTGCATTTCCTCTTCAGAGAAGTTTCTTTTTAGCTCTTCTGCCCATTTTTTGACTGGATTATTTTCTTTGTTGTTGCTGAGTCTCATCAGCTCTTTGCAGATTTTTGTGATCAGTCCTTTATCATTAGTGTTGTGTGCAAAAATGTTCTCCCAGTTGGTGGGGTTTCTCTTTGTTTTTGTTATTGTCTCTTTTGCTGTGCAGAAGCTCTTTAATTTGATGTAGTCCCAGCTGTTTATCTTTCTCTTCACTATCACTGCTTTGGGTGATGTGTCTGTAAAGATGTCTTTGATGTGCAAATCCCGTAGTGTTTCGCCTATATTTCCTTCTATGTATTTTATGGTTTCAGGTCTTATGTCTAGTTCTTTAATCCATTTTGAGTTGATTTTTGTGTATGGTGTGAGGTAGTGGTCAAGCTTCATTCTTTTGCATGTAGCGACCCAGTTTTCCCAGCACCATTTATTGAACAAACTTTCTTTGCTCCAATGCATATTCTTTGCTCCTTTGTCAAAGATTAGTTGACCATAAATCTGTGGGTTTATTTCTGGATTTTCTATTCGATTCCATTGGTCTGTATGTCTGTTCTTGTTCCAATACCATGCAGTTTTGATGATTATGGCTTTGTGGTATAGTTTGAAGTCTGGGAGTGTGATGCCTCCATTTCCTTCTTTTTTTTTCAGTAGAGCTTTGGCTATTCGGGGTTTTTGGTGATTCCATATGAATTTCATCAATAATTGTTCTATTTCTTTGAAGAATGCCATTGAGATTTTGATTGGAATAGCATTGAATCTGTATATTGCTTTTGGTAGGATGGCCATTTTAATAATGTTTAAGGAATAGATACAAGGTTTGTGTGAGAAAGGGAAGCTGAATTTGCCCTTGCTAAGCAACTTTTTGAGACTCTCCTTAAATTCAGCTTCTAACTTATAGGATTGCCTGAAAAAAAAAAATGGACCCAATAAAATGAGAGTCTTTTTTTTTTTTTTTTGTGCTTTTAATGGCTGCTTGGTTTCTAACAGAACAGTGTACATTGAATTCCTGCTTGCTGGAATGTGTGTGTAAAAATCTTTCCAAAAAGGGCCTCCCCAGTGGCACAGTGGTTGAGCGCTGGGTTGCGAAGCTGCCCGCAGCCTCTACGGCACAGGTTCGATCCCCGGCTGCTCCCCGGCCACCAGAGGAGGGTCCCACATGGCGCGCAGACCTCTGCTGCCGCCCACTGCTCCCCTCAGCAGTGTACTTCGGTCCTTCTGCCTGCTCTGCTCCCCACTCTGGCTCTGGTGAATTCTCTCACCCTCCTGTGCTTCTGACTGTACCCAGTTCTTGTATAAATAAATAATAAATAAATAAATCTTAAAAAAAAAAAATTAAAAAAATCTTTCCAAAAAGTCAGTGATCTTTAAGATCATTCCAGGGCTATCAAGAATGTAACCTAAAGCACAGAAACAAAAAATGATAAATTTTACCTTAAAAATCAACTTTATATTTTCTGATATTATTTAAAATATAGGCATAAAGGAATAGTCATGAGGTGGTATTCAGAAAGGATGGATAGTTATTGTTGAGAGTCTGTCAAGAGGGAACTGCTGTGGGGGGTGTGTGAGCTTCACAACCTAGGGCATCCCATTCATACAATAGCACCATAGAGTTTCATATTTGTTATCACAATTTTCAGACATATGTCAAGAAAACATCTTATTCTTTTTTTTATTATAAATTTTATTTTTATATTCCCCATACAATTGCGACCCCCTTATTTTGACCCCAATCCCTCCCCTCCCTGCCCCCTACCCCCCATAGAGTGTCTCTGGTTCATAGTTGTTTGTTGATTTTGATTTTTACTTTCTTATAGTTATTCTTTTTCCTGGTCCCTTATTTAAGTTTTCTAGATTCCTGCTATGAGTGAGACCAGAAAACATCTTATTCTAAAAAGGTGAGTAGCACCTCCTTGGTGATGCAGCAGGTTGAGCACAGCACCGTGAGGCTGTTAGCAGCCTCTGCAGTGCCAGTTTGATCCCGGCTGGCCCGGGAGATACCAAGATGGTGCAGCAGACCCCTCCTGTCTTGCCCACTGCTCCCTTAAGCAGTGTTTTCAGTTGTCTACCTGTTCTGCTCCCCGCTCTGTCTCTGGTGAATCCCCTCACCCTCCTGTGCCTCTGGCTTGTACCCCAGCTCTTGTATAAAATAAATAAATCTTTAAAAAATAATAAAAATAAAAAAGGGAGTATATCAGGACAGTTTTCTGACAGCAGTACAGGACTTTGAAGAAGGGATGCCTATTTCAAACTCACGCAGAGCATGTGTGGGTCAGCGGTCGTGTGGGGCCTTGGATGCGGCCCAAGTGCTATGTCCTCGCTAAGCCACAGCAGACAGTAGTTCTTGGCAGAGTTTCTCTCCCTCAAGGTCCTTTACCTTTCTGTGATCTTGCATCTGTTGTCCTGAATGTCCTTAGGTTATCTTTTCTGGAAAGATCCCTTTAGGACCTGGGGACCCCATCGAACCTTATACCCTTCCTTATACTGTTCTAACTTTACCTGCTCCCCACTGCGAGGAATGTCTGCTGTGTTTAACTTTTAACATTTAGAAGATCTTTCTCTTGTTTCATCTCATGATTCTTGTGAGGAAGGCAGTGCAGGGGTGAATATCCTGATTTTACAAACAAAAACATAAGCAGGTTCAGGGACCTTACACGACTCATATGATGGTGAATCTCTGAACCCTCTGACCCAGTCTTCTGGCCCTCCCTTCTGGGATGCATCACACTGGATTCTGCTAAGGTGTAAATGTTTGTCTTCCATTCTAAAAGGTGCTCACTTCTAAGTGGGTCCTTAATGCGCCTTGGCAATTCTATTTCATTTCCTTAGTCCATTCCTCTCCTTTTCTAGATAACTCTCCTACCTTATCCTCTGACCTCAAACTGCCATCACCTCCTTTCTCACCCTCATGCTCATCTGGTGGCCCTTTCTTTTTTTTAAGATTTATTTTATTTATTGCATAAAAGAACTGGGGAGCAGGTCAGAGATGCAAGGGGTGAGAGGGTTCACCAAAGACAGAGTGGAGAGCAGAGCAGGCAGATCTACTGAAATACACTGCTGAGGGGAACAGCAGGGGAGACAGGAGAGGTCTGCTGCGTCATGTAAGTCAGCTCCCTCGCAGGGGATTGAACTTAGGCCATAGTGGTGAT